TGTGATGATATGTACATATAAGTGTATTTATTCGTTGTGTGCTTATTACCTATGGCTTTGAAAGAGATTCAACTTTACTGAGCAGCAAATTTCATCTGGCTGAAGTGATCTTCTGATTCGCGTTGACCACACCGAAATGTGGAGTCAGTCTGAAGTGGATGCGTCGACAGCGAACGATGCAACTGCTGAACTTCAAGCACTTATCGATGAGATGCGTGAGTAACTCAGCCTGTTTCTCGGGCAAAATTTGAATTGTTTGCGAAAAATTCCAGCAAATTGAGCCAATCAAGTAGCAATTAATTCAAGAAGATATTTTGTGAATCAGTCAACTTATAAAAATATCATTCAGTTCGTTCGTTCAGTTCTCGATATTAATTATAAGCTTTCCTCAAACCTTTCATGGCAGCTCCTAATTTGATGTTGTTTGAAAATTCAGCAGCTTTTCGTGGCTGTTCTGTCACATCACCCAGAATATATATTAGTTTTTTCATTGAAGAGTTCAATAACAAATTGAATTTACAACGGAATGCGATTACTCATTGAAAGCAAACTTTTATCTTATCTAACAGTCAAATAACGCTGAATTGGAGTATCTCTGTGAATTTCTTATGAATGAGAACGAAATTTTTCATCGATGAGGATGACTAGACCACAGTTTTCGTTACATTTACACTGAACAGCACTCTTATCTTAGACGCTTATGTAATATGCACAATACGCTGTTTTTACCAGTTTAAGCGAATATATCCAGAGCAAGGTCTCTCAACCGAGGATGCTTGCGCCCTTTGTGGGTGCGAGAAAACATTTCATTTTTCATACCTTAAATAGCGCAAAGCTGAACTTTTACTTATGCATTTTTTTAAAAGGCTTGAAAGTATCCTAATGCTATACACTTATCTGCACTATAGACATTTGCTGTAGTGGATGAGAGATATAGAGTGGATGTGACGTTATTTTAAAATCTTTTTGAGGTGTGTGGGCGAGAAAAGGGCTGAGAACCATCGATTCAGAGATATCAGCCAGCTTGTTTGCAGGATATAATTCGAATTTTTTTTGCAGGTCTGCAAGATTTTGACTCAATTCGCTTTGCCACCTACAGAGCTGCGTGTAAATTGCGTTTCATTCAGAAGAAAACGAATGGTAATTGTTTCACATTCAGCTGCTGTTCAGTGCTTTTTGACGACACTCTTAGAGATAAAACATCCATTTCGTTCAAAATCAATGAAGGCTTTTGTTCTTGCGAAAACTTTTTTCGAACAATTTTTCTGATTCGTTCAAGTTCGACTATGTGCCATTTTATCATCCGTCATCGAATCGTCAATATCCCTACTCAAATCGTCATCCAATAACGCCATTTACGCATTCTTTCTTCATAAACCTCCGATTGACACACTCCTGATCAACTGGATGTCTACTCAGCAATATATCACTCGAACTAAATTCGATAATCTGAAAACAATTTCAGTGCATTTGGTTGATATTTGGAATATGATCGAATCGTTTCGAGAAAACGGCTTGAATGCACTTCCAATCTCTACTCAGGTTGCCATTCAACATCTATCACCTCAATTCTTACTAGATCGGCATTTCCATTGCTACTTCAACTTGTGCCATCTCAAAGAACTTGATTGGTTCAATTGACCAATGGCAGCAAAAAATCATTTGGAGGGATAGGATGGGACAACGATTGTTGCGTGATAAACACTGGATATTTGATGAGAAATAGAGGATGAGTGCATGAGTAAATGACAAACGAAGAGCAAGATATCAACGGTTCGTGTGCGATATAGATGACAAATGGACATAAGAGTGATAAGAGCGAACATGCTTACGCTCACTCTGGAGCTATACCTCATTTTGGTCCAAAATGCGATCTGATAAATTCAATCCTTTGTTATTAAGCAACATCAGCGATTGTGGATCATAGCTTTTTCAAGTGTGATCATTTTAACGGATACAGCGGTGGTTCCCACATTCGGATGCTCCATTACCCCTTTTGAGTATCTAGCAGGCCGCCGTTTCCCCTCCCTTCTGATGCAAGAACTTACTATTTTTGCGTATAACATCGGGGACAAACGGAGAACCGGTCCGGAAATTTCTCAACGGCTTAAAAAAATTAGTGTCCTAGACCGTTCTGTCGCTCATTACTGCAGTCGATTATGACTGCATGAAAAGCTATTGTCTATGACACGTTCACTTCTAACTGATTCACATGGATTCTCATTCTTTTCAGACGTGTTGTATTCACTCTCATAGCTATTACATGCGAATAGCGTTCTCTTGATGAGTTTTTCTCATTCATTTCGTCTCATTTCACTTCACAGTTCGAATCAATTTCTTATTCTGTAGCATATACTATTTACTGGATACGTTGACGAGTGTTGACAGACGAAATCAACAACACAGTAATCGAATATTATTGCTCAACAACGTTCGACCGTCAAATAATCAATTATAGAGTACATTTGATAGAATGAGAATTTGACTTTAATTGTTNAGAGCGATTGTAACAGCAAGGAAAAGAATGAAAACCCTGTTAGGCCCGAACGAGCTGATGATACTCAAAAGAATGTAACATGACAGCTGCACGAAATACTAATTCCCCGTCCCCCTCCATTACCTCTTCACACCTTCAAATTAATCAGAATGGGTAATTTCACCCGCTATGAGAACCACTGGAATACAGCAATATTTTCGATCATTTTGACTCGATTGTGACAGATTTTAATCTAGAATTCGCTCTTCAAGATGATGTTCAGAGTTGTTCACTACTCTCAGCCATTATAAATAATCACTCATGTTAACGTAATCATTTCTTTTTTGAAATGTTTTATGGTTTCCAAAAATAATGTGTTCGCCTGAGCGAATTTCTATAGCAACTGGCGGAAACAAAACAATGATTTTACTATGATTACAGGTAAAAATGTCGCGATTAGAACTCCTTTTGACAACCATTTTTCATAATTTAAATAAACGTTTACCAACCGCTCAACATATCGATACGGACAAATCCATTTCACTTCTATTGAGTTTTCTTGTTGGTGCTTATGATAGGTAAGTGAACTAGTAAACTTTATTTGAAACCTTTCATTCAT